GATCATTACCACAGCTTCAGCGTTTCCTGGTTCATGAAATAAAGAGTCCGCTTTGGCTAAAAGGACACATGAGGGGAAAAAGTTTTGTATTAAAGGAGAAGAAAGAGGTACTTCACCCCTTCACCAGAAATACCTTGCATCTCACTCTGCGGAATTACATCAAGAAGACGGGTTTATCTTGATGTTCCAAAGCCTTCCACTTTGTACGTGGGAAAAGATCGGGAACTACATGAAAAAAAGTGAGGAAACTCCCTGCAATGGCTTTGTGAGAGAATTGCCTAATCGGCGGTTGGGTGCTGATCGGTAGAGCCTATTTTCTCTTGACATAATTTGAATAATTTAATGTTGAAAAACTATTGAGTCTATTATGAGGCCGATGTGAAAAAGGATTTGCACTTGATAGCCTCCATACGACATCCCTGATCCATTAATAAACACCACATGCTAAAAATGAAGATGATTATTAATTGCCGAAATTTCTTGTCGATTCTTTGCAAAAATCTCAATTTCAAAAATTTCTCAACATTTCAAACTATCGTTAATGCGTAGTTGTTCTGAAGGGGCCCATTATCTCTATTGGGGTCTAAATAAAACATTCCATATTTTTCATTGCTGGATACCCTAGGCTTTGAAGATAACACCGACTTGAGGGTTTCCTGATGGTAAAAGCCTACTTCGGGGCAAAACCCATGCACATATCTGTCAAAACATGACACATATCGATACAACTCCATAATAACTGGAAATTGTTTAGGACTGCAATCGTTGGTAGAGCGGAGGACCATTATTCTTTATCATACCTCTGCTCTGAGGCATGGAGCAAAACTTTGGATGACAACGATATGAAGAAGAGACGTACTTAAAATGGTTGCACCGTAGTCACGGGCTCGTCCGTTTGGTATCATTCACGTTCGTAGTATTGGTTTTTCCTCCATGGGAAAGAACATTAATTACTCGCAGGGAGAGTGGGACGGAAGGTATCGACTTCCTCGGCTATGGTGGTCGAGCGGAAGAAATATTTAAATTCCACATGATTGACGGACTTTCCATCCTACCAACTTCTCCCCCTGTGTGCACAAGCGGAATGTGCCAGGTGTTGTTCGTGATTTATGAAAGCTTTTTTCCTTCTCGAGGAAGTTGATTAGGCCATGAGCTGGTTTCGATCATAATAGGAAACTAAGAAGGGATGCGTGCGCACAAGAGCATATCTGGGGATAGATCGAAGCCATTAATTTTTTTGTCTACACATTTCGGAAATGCATGGAAATAAATATTTTCTGCATGTCTATTCCTACTCTTGCTGAATGTGACAATGCAAACCTTGCCACACCCCGTCATAACAAAGCCTATGAAGAGAATGAATGTAAGGAACCGAAGAATATGAACGAAATCAACGAATAGATGAACAATGAATGTACAGTGCTGCCAACGGTGGCTCTGACAACCGCAAGTAGATGGTATTATAGGTGTGAGACGAGAGAAGAGAGAATAGGAGCGTACGATATGACTTTTCCTTAGCTGGCGAGGTATGGAAACTGGGCGCGTCTTTTTCTCTAGCACATGGCAGCTGCTGGCGGAAAGACGTTTTGGATAGGCATAACCACGTCATTGAATGACGTCACTATTGGACGAACAGCTGCGAAGGGAACGTAGGGAACTATGTGAACGCTGAGCAACTAAGCCTTAAAACGATCGGGAGCGGGGGGCTTCAGCAGAGATAGCTGAGCCGCAAGCAAAAAAAACCACGACCACGGTTTAGTCCATGGGGGAGATCGTGATATGTGCTTACCCTAGAGATTCTTGACAATAGGTTAAATTATTAGCCTTTTATGAAGAACACCATCTTCGCTGATGATCGTGAGGGAGGTAAGGTGATGTAGAAATAAGCAATGTCCTCTTCCTTATTAAGTGTCTTGGAGGGCTTAAATCAATCATTGGTTAATATTCAGATGAGGGAGAATAAGACAGGTCCTCAGAATATAGATAGAGGAGACCAGGAATGATCGAAATGAGTGAAAGAGCGCTTTCATTTCGCGACAACACAATCTGCCATCCCAATGAAGTCACGTTTTATGGGCTGAAATGAACAGAAACCATGGCAACTTACGGTGTCAACAGATCGACATTTGAAGCTCATACGTTTGCGTCGTGGGGTATCCCAAGAGGTTCTGGCACATTTCTAACAAGACTTCCAGTTCCCAAGTCTGCTCGTTCTGCCCTTATATATATCGTGTGAAATTTGAAGGGTTATTACCCCGCATTATCCCTGTTCTCTTTTTCATACTTTTTAAAGAGGTCGAATTAGCCAAATACGTGCTCCTGCCTGGAAACTACATTGGAAACAACTCATCCAGAGAATTCCCAGACTGGAAATCGTGCAGATGTGCAAACGCCTGTGACAAGTATCGCTTCCGTAACTCTTTGGTCAGATTGTATTCGTTGCAGAAACATTGGTGGCTGATTCAATGAAGACCTTCTGGCTTCCGGGAGAGCCTAATTTCAAGAAGGGAGCAGAGGATGAGAGATGTGTCGCGATGGGGAAGTCTCCAGAGTCTCCAGGGGGGATGTGGGAGGATGTCTCCTGTTTGATAACCCTGCCTATCACCTGCGAAGTCCGTTTCCCCTACTCCTACCCCAGAAACCCGCGAAAGATGTGAAGGCAGCTCTTAGTATTTGGGGAGTTTTCTTGTGGGAAAAGGAATTACACATATTCTGTTCACACTGTTGTTGATTAGTTATTGAATTTGAAGTCAGAGAGTTTACATTCTACTATTAATATTTCACGTATAGGGGAATGTGTTACTGTCGAAACTTTTTATTTCTCCTATGGCCGATTGCCTTACCTTTGTTTCAAATAGGGGCTTTTAAAACGTATCAAAGGTACTTGCACTGAAAAATGTATATGTCTAGTTAGCTCCATGTAATTTTCCCCCCTTTCTTCTCCTGGAAAAAAATTATGAGTTTAATTGGTATGAAAGTCATGCTCATGAGAAGATATTTCGACCGCTTTCGAAGGAAGTGTAGATTTTATAACGACTTAGTTTGTAAAGCCTGGTCTATTTCTTGGTGGTTTTTTAAAATGTGAACTCAGTCGTGGAACACTTACTAACAGAAGGAGCAATAAACTTAGAAAATGAAAACAGAAAATTTTCTTATATAGTTTATTTCTGTGAAAATGCTATTCTCCCCTCCAAGCTATGACCAATTTCAAAGTGGATACAAAAAAGACCTGATTCCTAAACTTGCAAAATATATTGATGTTAATGTGATGCACAACATCCGTTTCAACATCCTAGTTGCAAGAATTAAGCAATCGACCAATTAATTACAGCTGATGTGTGTTCTTTATACATATGTTCGTTTCCGTACCAAGTCGTAGAATAATTTTTTTAATTATCAGTTTCCTTTCCTTAGTGCCAATTAGGTGCAATAACGTAAATTGAAAGTTAAGCAATGTTAGCTGTTTCTTAATCTTGCTAGACCTAATTATTCGATATTTGGATTGTTCCAACTGTCGATTGAAACATGAGAGCATATATAAGATACGTCATGACCGTAGGGCGAGACTGACCTTCATCCGTTTGCTTCTTGCTCTCAATGAGCATCATTCGCCTTCATCGTGATTCTCGATTTGTAACAATGATTTAATGCCTAAAACATTGAGAGTGCTGGGCAGGATTCCGCAACTGCTAACGTCACGGTTTTGCAACTTTCTCCAAAAATTTGTATCATAATTGGAAGATTTGTATCATGAGTGAGTTCATGAGGCCTAATAATTATACACGGATGACACGAACACACGGCGGGACAAGACGGAACCATAAGTAGCCTCTTTCCTTTCAGAAAAGAATGCCCACTAAAAAGATTGTCATCAGAGGATAGCTAGAGGAGACCAGGAAGATTCAAATGAGTGAAAAAAGCGCCTCAATTTCGCAACACTACAACTCGCCATCCCAATGAGGTCACGTTTCATGGGCCAAAAGCAACAGCAACCATGGCAACGCACGGCGTCAACAGATCGATCTTTGAAACTTACACGTTTGCGTCGTGGGGGATCCCAAGAGGTTCTAGGCGCGTTTCTAATAAGACCTACTGTTCTCAAGAGCACTCGATCTTCCCCACTAGACGTCGAGGGACATTTGAAGAGTTTTTGCTCCACATATAATGAGCATTTTCTCCATTCTCCTCTTCCTACTCATCCAAGAGGCCGTCTTGGCCAAATACATGCTCCTGCCTGGAAACTACATTGGTAACAACTCAATCACCGAATTCCCGGAATGGAAATCGTGCAGATGTGCAAAAGCCTGCGACAAGTATCCGGAAATCCGTGGTCATTTTACACTTCCTGGTAACATTCCAGTGATACTTTTTTTTTTCCTCATTTCAGGGAAGAAAGGTGCCAAGGGTTCGCCCTGAAGAAGGGTGATGGTAGTTTCATTTGTCAGCTCCTCTCCAAGAACTCCACAATTGCAGTAGATCCTGATAAAACATCCAGGGTCTCTCTTCCAGGTAAGGGTTCCACCTTGTCCAAAAGGATCCAAGAAGGAGAGTACCAATACGCATTCGCCCATTTACACCTGTATCATGTACATGCGCGAGCAACGTCACATATTCAACCTGTACACCTCGTATATGTTGTAGGGTTTTCTGGGATGGATTAATGAAATGGCGAATGGATAATGCTGACTTCCCAGCAGTAAAGTCTAAAAAATAAATTAATTAAGAGAAGATCGCTGACGTTATGGTAATCAATAGTAGCTGTAGACAGGGTTGGAAACGATACAAGGACCAGAAAATGCGATTTGTCAGTAAAGGTCTAGCATTGCTTCCTTTTCCTTCCCCATGTTTTAAGAATTACTATTCCTATCTACGGACATTTGTACTACTATTCAAGGACTATAACTTTAAACCCAAATCTTTTCACCATATTCTCATGTTCTCAACATCTTTTTTGATCATTTTGATTTTTCCACTTGGATTGAATGAAACCTATCTTTATGTTTTAAAATATTGTTCAATATCCAGGAGCTAATTCTGAATTCTCCTTACTGAAAAAAAAAGTTGCCAATAGTGACGACACGAACAATATTTATATTGTAATTTTAATATGAATTTTAGATCAAAATTTATATTAGCCTGGAAATATATCACCTCAATTCTTTAACGTCCGAAAAACGAATGTCTCACTCCCACGCTTTCATTTAATGCTTCATTTCCTACATAATTACTACTGAAACATGTGAAATTCCCTGTCTTGCAATTCAGAATGTTCACGTCACCTAAAAAATGGAAATCATTGCGTAAAAGCCCTTATCGGGTGTTGCACTGCGCAAGATAATTTCGCATGAGTGAACAATTTGAATCGAACAAGTGCATCGCTCAAGATTTCAGAAGAGTTGTGAGGGAGTCAGTACAGTCACGGATCTTCTTCGCAAATGATTTGACAAAACTTTCACGTAGATGGTACATTCATGGAAACATTGACCTCACCATTTTTTAAGACTTCAAGAACTATACAATAGTTTACGCAACAAGAATGTCAGGGATATAGTGTCAACAAGCTAGGAGCTTCTATGTCCAAGATGTTTCACTTCTTCCTTGCAGAAACAATTGCTCCAAAAGAATTCGAATTTGCGATGGTCACGGGGAAAATTCATTTTCTGAGAGCGATGGGGAAAGGACAATACACGAAAGCAAGGAGCACTTGCAAAGGCGAAGGTTTGGCTCACCTCGTCATGGACGATCGAGGTCAAGATTGGCACGATTACGTCCTTCAATTTATGGTGTCGCATTTCCCATCCCAAGACAAGTTTTGGACCGGAGGTGACGACATTGATTGGAATAATGAGCACTCCTGGGTTGATGGTGAGGAAGATTATCGATTTTAGGATCATGAATGGTCGTTGAACTTATTTTTGCTTAATTGGTGGCAAAGATAACAGGAGATTAAGGTTCTATCGAATGTGTATATAGTTTATCTGCTACTTATATGATGAATCCTAGTATAAAGGCAATTAAATTGTCCCAGCAAAATTGACATGCTCATATACCAATGGAATAGAAGAACTGATGAATATTCCATGGAAGTTGACCTCACGCACAGAAGGAGCAATAAACTTAGAGGATGAAAAAGAAAAGTTTCTTATATAGTTTATTTCTGTAAAAATGCTATTTTCACCTCCAAGCTATGACCAGTTTCAAAGTGGATACAAAAAAGACCTGATTCCTAAAAATGCAAAATATATTAAAGTTAATGTTATGCACAACATTTGTTCCAACATCCCAGTTGCAAGCATTAAGAAATCGACCAATTAATTACAGCTGATAGGTGTTCGTCATACATGTGTTCGTTTCCCGTACAAAGTCGTAGAATCATTTTTTTTAATTATCAGTTTCCTTTCCTTAGTGCCCATTAGGTGCAATAACGTTAATTGAAAGTTAAGCAACGATAGCTGTTTCTTAATCTTGCTAGACCTAATCATTCTATATTTTGATTGTTCCAACTGTCGATTGAAACATGAGAGCATATATAAGAGACGTCATGACCGTAGGGCGAGGCTAACCTTCATCTGTTTGCTTTTTGTTCTCAATGAGCATATTACCTTTATCGTGATTCCCGATTTGTAACAATGATGTAATGCCTGAAACTTTGAGAGTGCTGGGGTCGGTTCTGCAACTGCTAACGTCACAGTTTCGCAACTCTCTCCAAAATTTGCATGATAACTAGGACGAATTGACTGAGTTCAATTATACACGGATGGCCACTGGCTCGCCTACATTGTTATGATGGAGGTTCTTTGTCCTGGTTTATTGTCGTCATGGGGAAAGACTTTAATTGCCCGATGGAAAAGGGGAAGAGGATCATTTTATGCCGACTGGAATTCTTTGTTGGCCTCCGTGGTGGACTAAGAGAACCTATTACATTCCAAGGAATTATCGAACTTCGTATTATTTCGGTTCTGTTCAAATGGAATGTCAATTCTACTCGTGATTCATGGTGCTTTTCTACCGACGATATAAAGGAAGCTATATCCCGTGATTGGGCGGGGGAATGTCCATGCATTGAAAATTTACAAAGGAATCCTGAATAAATATCTTTCCCCAATAAACTTTGACTACGCTTCAATCTTCTCGTACCGTGAAACACTAAAAAGGATCTGCATCACGTACATCAATACCTTCCTTCAAACCCTTCCACCGAGAGAAAATTCAAACGTCTCGTGTTTTTCCTCCTCCGTTGTTTGCATCTTCTCTTTCTAATGTAAGAGACATTATTGCGCTGAATTCATGGGATGAGCTGAGATTGAAACGGTGGTTTGCAGTGGCTGATAGATTTGGTGGAATACAGAGATATCTCATCCAACATCCATAATTAACATGATGGCGGCCTGCTTGTATGCCATGCTTCCTAAAGGCATTATCTTCTCGAAACTAGTCCAGACCGCACGAGGAACTCTTGATAGGCCTAATGTTCTTCGACCTGTCTGAAATGGTTCATGAAACCCGAGGAATACCTGCATTCGGTCTAACGTTACTCGCACTCTTTAAATGGGCCATGAGAAAGAGAGAATTAGAATGCGATTGGCCTAACTTTACACGTCCTCAACAGGGTGTCTCGAAGAGCTGGGATTAATCATTGTTGGCCTAATTGGTCCGTAGGTTGAGGGTTGAGTTTCTTTTGTATGGAAAAAGATAGGTCTAGCCCTGACTCGAAGACAGTCCGACGGTAAGGCCTAGGCCTAATTGGCCCTATTAGTCGAGAATTGTGTTTCTTTTGTGACCCGTGGAATATGGCAGGTACACAATGATTTATGCTACATTCTACCTTTTCCCAGAAAAAATTGTTAAGACCATGTGGGAGGCAACTCTATGCCTAATTATTTTGAAGGTAAAAATCCTGAATGACAATTCCTTTCCCTGGACCTTGAACACACTTCATTCTTCCCCTTCGAGAACATGCAACAAATTATCACATACCAGGCAGAGATGTTGCAAGAGAATGGAATAAGTGTAATGGGAGCTTTTCTCTTCAGACGCGTTAGCGTGCTTACACCCTAGCCCATGTCTAACTATCTCCATAAAGCACCCCACCATTGCTGCCTCGATGTGAGAAGAGGAGAAGATGGACATCAAGGTGCTGAAGGAGCTAACAAGATTTTCTTTCTGCATGGCTAGCAATTCTGATGTGTCATACTGAACTTGTGTGTGGATTCCACTTTCTGCCTGGCCCATGAGAGAAGAAAAGCACTCTCGTACATTATACTCGTTTGACCACAGCAAAGACAGAAAAATAAAAGTTCTTGACTGTTGTTCTCCAGCCTGAAGAAGATGCGATAGTTCTAGTTGCATGTGGCTGACAATATGAGAATATCTGTCAAACGCTTATCCCGTTTGAAAGTAGGGGAAGGTAGGGCAAAATGGGGCGAGGGGCAAAACGGGACAACGCAGATTTTAACCACACCATACCCGATATCTAGCGGTTATTTACCCCATTATAAGCGCCCATGACCGGTGGAAATTTTCAGGCACGGCGGCGCTCTTTAAAGTAGTTTTATAAACACACCAAGAAAAATAAGAAAATAAGTCGTCTTTTCTAATTTTACTTCGAATTTTTTCATCAGCGAAACAAAGTAACATGGGAGCATTGGGGGCTTCCGATATTTTTTCGGAAAAAAAAAACAAGGTTTAATTGTAGACGTTTCATTGCTCTTTCTGTTCTCTGACCTTTGTATGTAAGAATGAAGACCTGAAGAAACGAGAGAAAACATCTTGTAATTTGTCGATGTTTCGTTGAGGTCTCTGTTCTGTGGACTTTGTAAATAGGCATAAAATGAAGACACCGGAAAACATGTTGATAAGAGATATTTCATCAATGTTACTGTTCTGTGGCCTATTTAAATAGGTATGTATTATGAAAAACAAAAAACAGTAAAACAATATCTGGAGGATCACCCCATTTTGCCCCGCAGAGGCACCCCATTTTGCCAAAGGGTGGGGAGTTAGGCAACAACTTTTAGAATTGATTGGGGGAAAACACCGTCGCTGATTTCGCGATGAAGTTCAATCCTATTCGTAGGTAAGTCATGACAGATACCGCATACCAATCCGCAACGTGCTACGCCAACTCCTTGATACTAAATGTTGGCAATTTCCCTGAACTACCCCGGTTTATCCCACCTTCTCCTACCGGCTGAAGGGTGGTGTTTCGTGATAGAAGAACGTCAATGGGAAGGATCATAACGAGATTGAAGGTTTCCTGGTTTGTGAAACAAAAGTCGACTTCGGCTAAAAATACACACGAGTAAAAAAGAAATGGGTTTTGGTTTTATAAGAGAAGAGCCAGGTACTTTTTGAAAAGTAATTAGTCCAAATTTCAAAATCTTAACTACGAAAACTGACTTGTAACAAATCTTTTCTCGAATAATTTCACTTATTCATTACGTGTTCTATTGCGACTTTTTTGCAACTATTCACTTCCCACTACAACATTGCATCTGAAGGCTAAAGGAATATAGAATGATCCCCTATATGCTTATAATTCGTATGATGCAGAAGTATCTCGAGTTATTCAGTTGTGATATTTTTGGATTGGCAGAATGAGACTCTAGGAAATTCTGGACGAGTCCAGAATTTCCTGGAGTCTCATTCTGCCCTGTTACATCAGGAAACGGGACTATCTTGGAATTCCAAAGCATTCCCGTACGCTGTACGTGGGAAAAGATCGGGTATTGCATGAAATATGTAGAAAACCCCCTGCAATGGCAATAGCGTGAGAATCGCCTAATTGGCGGTTGGGCGCCATCTCGTGCCTATCGGTAGAATCCATTTTCTGTGGAAATAATTTGGATAATTCCATGTTGAAAAACCTTTGCGACTATGATGAAGCAAATGTAAAAAAGGATTTGCACTTAATAGCCTTTAAACGACTTCTCAAATCCATTAATGATCACCACATGCTGAAAATAAGGATGCTAATCCTCAAGGTTTCTTATCGATTCTTTACAGAAATCTTAACTTCAACCATTTCGCAACATTTAAAACTTTCGTTAATGTTGAAACAGCGTAGTTTTGCCGAAGGGGCACTTAATATCTTTATTCGGGCCTAAATATAACATTCCATATTTTTCCATGTTGGCGGCTTTTATCTTTGGCTTTCGCGAAAACACCGGCATGAGGGTTTTCTGACTATAAACTAGACCATACTTCAGGGCAAAACCCACCCACGTATCTGTCAAAACATGACACATATCGATACAACTCCATAATAACTGGAAATTGTTGGAGAATGTAGTCATTTGAAGTCCAGAGGACCATTATCCATTAGCATACCTCTGCTCTGAGACATGGACCAAAACTTTGGATTACAACGCTATGAAGAAGAGTAATAATAAAAATGTTTCTACTATGGTCATGGGCTCGTTCGCGTGGTAACAGTGACGTTCGTCGTATTGGTTTTTCCTCTATGGGAAATAACATTCATAACTACCAGGGAGAGTGGAACGGGAAATATACTGAAGGTATCGACTTCCTCGGCTATGGTGGTCGAACGGAAGAAATATTTATGTTCCACATGATTGACGGCCTTTCTATTTTCCCAACTTCTCCCCTGTGTGCATAAGCGGAATGTGCCAGGTTTGTGCGTGATTTATGAAACTTATTTTCTTCCCATATTTTTTTCCACAGACCACAAGGCTTTTCTTCCTCCAAAAACCTAGAACCTTTGTTTCTTTGTGCTCTCTTCTGAAACTCGTTGCCCGCTAAATCTGAGTCTGGGGTAGAAAAAATATGAATGCATTTGTCGTCATTTCATCCCGAATTTGTGCCTTTGCAGATTTATTCCCGCTGTGAAAGGCAATGATGCACGGGAAGACATATTTCTTTCTTTTTC